TGGAAAATTGTAGTCGGAGAACAGAGAGAGAGAGAGAAATCGACTGTGTTTTTATTTTCGGAGAGTGAAGGATAGGATGAAGCATTGATGAACCCTACTCTCCAGTTTTGATTCTTTGAAATCTCGGTTCTGAAGGTGAACTCCTTTCTCTAAACTCTCTCATGGGTTTCAGAAATTTTCCAGTTTTCGTTGTTTGTAATTTTTTTCTGGCTCTATTTCGTGAGAAATCTCTGCACTAGGAATTGAAATGCGTTTCTTTCAGATGTTAAGTTAATTACGGATGTGTGCTGATGATAAATCAGATTTTCACTGATGGAATTGCAACCATGGTCGCGGAATTTATATTACGGGTCATTTCCCTAGTTTAGGTGTTGTCAATGAGTGATTCGATGGAGGAATCTCGGTCTCTTCCATGTGAATATGGTTCTAGAGTGTATTTAAGTGCAGGTGCCAGGAAATCTGTTTGTGAGAATCAGAAGTTGAGAACTTTTATTGTTTTATTGAATGAGATTTAGTCATTGCAGTCTCATGCTTTGCATATTCCATTTTGGTGAAGTAGAACCTGATTTGTGTCACCTCAATTTTCTCTGTAGGTGGTAATGATGCTAGGTGGATGCAGCACGCCAAGTGCACATGTTCTAACGAGCTCTCGGGCATTCAAGTCAGCATCGTACAGAGCTGCATCTGGACCGACTCAAAACTATCTTGCTCGAAGATCATCTTTACCATGTAATGAGCTTAAACGGGGAGTACCTAGAGGCAAGTGAATCTCTTCTATTTCTATGGCTTGATCACTTAAATCATATATCCCTGCTTAGATTTGTAGATTGATCCGGATGAGCTTCTTATGATGTGAATTGTTTGGTTTTGTTGATGCACATTTGGTATTTCAAAGTTCCTGCCTTTTGCTCATAAGACACAATCTTGTATTCTTCCTTGTCTCAGGTGCGCCTCTGTCATTTCTCTCAGCCTCGTCTTCTCGGCTTCTGAATGGGGAACAAGGTAGCCTCTCTTGCACACTACCCATGTTACCCGTCCGCAGAAAAACCCTTTTGGCCCCTAGAGCATCGAAAGATGTACCTTCCAGCTTCCGGTTTCCTCCAATGACCAAAAAGCCGCAATGGTGGTGGAGAACTTTGGCATGCTTACCTTACCTGATGCCGCTGCACGAAACGTGGATGTACGCAGAGACCGCTTACCATCTCCACCCGTTTCTAGAAGATTTCGAGTTCTTAACCTACCCGTTTCTAGGCGCCATAGGAAGACTACCAAGCTGGTTCCTCATGGCTTACTTCTTTGTAGCGTATCTAGGGATAGTGAGAAGAAAAGAATGGCCTCACTTCTTCAGGTTCCATGTAGTGATGGGTATGCTGCTTGAAATCGCTCTTCAGGTCATAGGAACCGTGAGCAAGTGGATGCCTCTTGGAGTCTACTGGGGTAAGTTTGGGATGCATTTCTGGACCGCCGTTGCGTTTGCTTATCTGTTCACCGTCCTGGAAAGCATTCGCTGTGCACTTGCGGGTATGTACGCAGACATCCCATTTGTCTGTGATGCTGCCTATATCCAGATTCCATACGACTAATAAGAAGAAACTGTGTTATTAGATCGTTGTTACTCATCTCTTTGAATCTGTTTGTTAATCCTTTTGCTGTAACAATGTCTCCTTCTTGAGTGACAATGATGTTTTAGTTGTAAAACTTTTGAGTATGGGATTATTGGATTGGCTATTAAAAAAAACTGTTATCAAACTTATTTGGGTCAAGTTATAAGTTATAAACCCTTGCAAAATTATAAGTACAAGGATAAAACTAAAATAGCTTTAAAGTAAATATAATAAAACCTTAATTTGAAGGATTATTTTGCAAATAAAAAAGATTGAACATCAAATTAAAAGAAGAAATAAGGTTACACCAAAAATAAGAGAAACTATAGTGTTTCTTTTATCTTGATTTCAAAAATAAGATAGGTTGAAGAAACATTTACACTAAAATAATATTTAAAGAACAAATTAGGGTGGTTTGGGGATGTTCTTATCTTGCACAAACGGATTGGTACTAGTGTTTGCAGAGAATATGACTGGCTTTCATCATTACATTGGTAATCTTTTGACGCAAGAATGGTTTCCAATTTCTTCTCCTACATACATGTATTCTCAAGGAACATTGGACTGGTGTCTCACATTAAGAATGGTGTCCTCACCACGTTGTCCAGTCTTCACCACCTTGGCAGTTCAAGAAAATCTCATTGCACTCAAGGGCAGTCTTCATTGGCTTTCACAGGATACCACAACAACTTCTAGTTCTCTAAGTGTTTTCTTCCCAGCTGGCTGCCTCGGCCTGTTTAGTTGTTAAAGTAATGAATCGTTATGTGAGTAGAAGGAAGAAGGCGGCAAATCGAGAGAAGCATGACCGAGAAGAAGTTGTTGAGGTGTAATAGTTGGATGAGCTGGACAAATGAGAAGCTTGGAGTAATTCGTTTAGCTGCTTTAGTATAAATAGTTAGGTTGTTGCTTTTCTATTTCTTAATCAGAATATTGTGAGAGAAAAGTCATCGATTGATCATTAAAGCATTCGCTGAGCACATCCCATTTCTCTGTGATGCTGCCTATATCCAGATTCCATACGACTAATAAGAAGAAACTGTGTTATTAGATCCTAGTTACTCTTCTCTTAGAATCTGTTTGTTAGTCCTTGTGTTGTATAACAATGTCTCTTCTTGAATGACAATCATGTTTCTGGGTAAGTTTATAACTTAGAAAGTATGGGATGTATTTCGAAATAAATTATAAGTAGAAGGACTAAAACGTAAATTTGAAAACATACATGTCCGAATTTGACGACAAGACATATGAACTCATAAACCCTAGTCACTCCCAACTCCATAACCTCTTGACGAGGACCACGACGGACAAGGTCGAATATGGACAAGAAGATGGATAATCCGGTCTGTGAGGAGTGCAAGTTGAATCCATGGAAGTACAAATGTCCAGGATGTTCAATTCGATCGTGTGGCCTTGATTGTGTGAAATCCCACAAGAAGCGAACAGGTTGTACGGGAAAAAGGAAGCTCGAATTCGTTCCCATCTCACAGTTCGACGATAACATCCTTCTTTCAGGTATAATCTCCATGGAATTGTGCTTTTAACAAATTGTTTGGTAGACTCAATAGTATGAACTTTATAGTCTAATTGTTTGGTCAATGATAGATTTTTGTTTTCCCCTGTATTAGACTACAATATGCTTGAGGAAACAAAAAGAGTGGCGGAATCGTCTCAGAGAAGGAGAAATAATTTATGCAAATATTCTTATCGTCAGGTATCTGATGCCTTCCGGAGTCTTCACAATGCTGCTAATAGCCGCAATACAACGCTGTGTTTTCTTCCTAGTGGAATGTTGAAGAGGGAAAACAATAAGAGTAGATACAGGTTCTCATTTTATTCTAAGCCTGAGCTTGATGATTGCACTTAATCTTAGATCTTCTCTTGACCGGTCTGTAATTTCTGTTGATTGGATTCGGTTTCTAGGAAAAAGTGCATCGCATGGACAATTGAGTGGCGGTTCCACTCTACAGATGCGGTTCTTCTTGACCATGGGTGAGTAGTATTTCTCTTTTGTTTATTGCTCTTGTACGTTGCTCTCTGTCTCTTTTAACACTGAAACAAATCCCTTCTCAGAGTTGGTGAGGATACAAGCCTTTGCTCTGTGTTGGAGAATCATCTTATGCCTGGCCCTTGGATTCACAAGCTGAAGCCATTTTGCGATGTGGATCTTGATTCTCTCAAACTATTTATTCGCAAGGACTCGATGGTTTGGTTTTTGTTACCACTGTTATTCTCTTAGTGTCAATATTACCTGCTCGTCTAACATATTTACTTATTTCCTGGTGGCAGGGTGGTGCAAAGGGTCCTTTCAAGGAGCTCAACATCAAAACTCCTCTGAGGAAACAGCTTGCCGGAGTAACTATCTTAGAGTACCCGGTGATCCATGTGTATCTACCTTCACAGAGCTATGACTTTGAAGTTATCAGATATGTTGAGCCCACGCCTGATCCTACCTTTTATGATGGTCACGGGAGTACACAAGGTCTAACCTATGAAATGGAAGAAGACCCAGAGGTTGTTGATGACGAGTTTACCAAGAATTCACATGCTCAGGAGATTGAGTTTGAGCAATTGCCAGTAGACGCGTATGCGGAGCTTTTTCCGGATATGGACCCAGGTGATTATTTCGACTTTGATTATGAATGTGTCAAGGGGTTTGGTTCAGTTGATAACTGTCATCTCCAAAATTTAGCTACTGATTGCAACGACGATGGACTAGAGGAAGGGGAAATCATAGAATGAAGACAAGATATTTCCTCCCACATTGGCTAGTCTTGGCATCATCATCACACAGCCGTTACATCCAATTGCAGAGCTAAAGGTCAAAGAGGAATTTCTCTTGTAAACCGGGTTATTAGGCTGGTCTGTGGTGTGTAGCAGACTTGAATGTTTACTTACAAGATTAGTGGATTAGATTAATTTAAGACAATGTTTCCCCAAGTTTTGTTCACTTCTTGTCATCTTTTTTATCCACATAAACAAAATCTCGCAGTGTTTCCGACCGTTTTTGTAGTCAAAGTAATACTCAAGATTTCAGTCGAAGTTTTCACTATTAACTCCGGAAGAAGTATTCACAAAAGCTAATTAATCATCCGATATTATATATAACGAGCAATAAAATATGCAAGAGGGGAGAGAAAAATATCAAATAAATCCACTTAAGTAATCATTAAACTGTCTTAGTATATCGTATACACATATTGGACGATTCTGAATTCGAGGAAACCAGTACAGGATTCTTCTGCTAAACCGAGATGCTCAAGGAGTTACGAAGAAGCACTAAAGAGATGATCTGAGGACATTGGCATGAATCTGAATGAGTTTGTGCATGACAAATTCAGATGGTCCTCCAAGCCCTGAACCATGAGTGTTAACCTCAAACACATTGCCTGTTAATGGTTAGAGGAACACTGACATCTCTGTAGAAGGGATAAAGGGAAGAATCCTTTCACCATAGAGTTCGTGCAGTTTCACCAAGAGCTTTCCGGAATCAAGATCGTCTTTCCAAATCTGATTAAGGATCGCTTTCATGGTAATAGCCCGACCCTTGCCCCCTTCTTTCTCCTTTGCGTTTCTGCTCTCAGTTTCGTTTGCATCAGAAGCTTGTTCTGACGAGGATGGTTGAACAGAGTTTTGTAGCGGATTGTCATTTCCCGCCGGTTTATCTACTTGCATTGGAGCTGGACCGCTGTGATCTTGCGATTCTGAACCATCTCTAGTTATCAATCTTTTCTTGGGTGACCGGTTGTCTGAAGAATCTACACTCAGCTTCCTCTTATCTGAAATATTCATTAAGTGGGAGAATAAACGTTGGAAACTGAAACAACAGCTATCGCAAAGCCTATAGGAAACTGAGTATTGATTAATTTCGTTGATGCAGCTTACGTGGCACAGTATTGATTAGTTTCCCTTTTCCCTTATGGAGGAAACTTGGTGAAGGAGATGGTAAACTTGGGAAAATTTTAAGCCGGTCATGTAGGCACAGGCCTGTAGCACGCTGAGAACAAAGAATCATAAATCCCTTTCAGGAGTATCCATATATGCAACTACTGAGATTACGGTAAAAAGATGTATGCAATTGTAGACGAGGGCTAGGACTAACCAGCAAGGCTCCATACACACGCCAAGCTTCGTAGCTCTTCATCTGGTTCTTTTGCTTCTCAGCATCCAATTCTGGTTCGAGAAGTCTTAGATACGGCTCGAGATTTGACAGAATTAGAAGGCGTACCTACACAATTAAATAACATTCAGCTCTTATAAGACTACACAAATCCTAGTTTCCTAAATGAAATGAAGAGAGAAGCAGGGAAAATGGTGGAAAAAGAAATCAAGGTTTTTCAGATGCTTGAAGAGACCTTAGATAGTTGAATGTTCTGGATAACATTGTTTATGGGGGAAACTTATAGAACTAATCAAAACCTTGATAATAGCAAAGTGATAGCATAGAAATGAGGCCTTACGGAACTAATACATCAAGAATTAATATCTGAAAGTAGTAGCATGGGAACGGAAAGGAAGTACTTACAACATTGTGGCCCAAAGCTGCTAATCCTTGAATTGCACCATAGTGCTGAGTCAAAGCCTTCTTTGGGTCCAAAAGTGCATTGACTAAAGTTTTCGTAAGACGAGTCTGAAGAGTAATGTAAGTGTTTCCAAACCTGGAACATTTTATGCAAGCCACAGGATTTCAGTAATATATTGCATACAATAGCTCCGTAAGAAATCATGTTCAGTAAGATGATCCCCACAGTTAACCAAAAATGAACACGGAGTTACATGAGGACAATGAAAGGGAAAGAATGAACCTTTTACATATCAGGGAAACCAGATTCGCCGTGAAATCTCTAAGTTCCCAATGGTTGTCCGCAAATCTATTTCCAAGCTTTCTCGATACAAGGCATGTTACAACTGATGGCATCAACTGGTGCAGCTGGCAACAAAAGGAAAAGTTCACTCAGCGTAGTGGTTATGAAACAACGCCCAAACAATCCACTTCTAATGAATATCATCCAAATGCAAATGAAACTATCCCAATACAGATCCAAGGCATAACTTATAGTCATCCAAGGAGGGTAGTTGAACTTGCACAGCGTTCTCGAAATCGGACCAACACTACCACTAATCATATTCTATGCATAATACGAGCATGTCTAACATGCAACCTGAAGAAACTCACATAAAAAAAACTAAAGAAAATGGAGCTACACACAGTGACAAAATATAATCCAGAGAGCAACTTACATAAGGTTCTATGTGTATATGAGGATTCTGTAGAAGACTTCTAACAATGTGCATAAGATTAAACAGGAGTGAGAAGTCGTTTAAACCACGTGATACCTGCATGAGAAAATAATATTGTAACGTGCAACAAGTAATTGAGTGCCCTGTTTATCTTTAAAGTTCATCGGTGGTTCACAACGTTACCTCATCAGCAATGAAATTTGTATAATATGGAACTAGAGGGTGAAGTCCTGAGTCTGAGGCCAAGCTCACTAGTGCCTCTTTAAACAAAGCAGGATTTAACTTGCTCATTGCAAGTTCAGCAATCTTTTGGAAGTATAACTGTTATCAGAGAACAACAGATAAGTATTATGCATGTAAGATTATTCCATGTGGTATTTAGTCTGCACCATTTACCTGAAGTTCCCTAGATAGAACATGCTTCACTGGTAGCCTAACGTCAATAAGAGGTCCATCCTTTTGTTCATGGATTTTATTTTCCGCAGGTGCTCTAATGACTACAGACACCATAAACAAGTGGAAACTACATTCATGATGAGGAAAACAAGAAAACTTTTCAAATTGTATTCGTGTAGACTGTAAAATTGAGAGGCAAACCTTCTAAAGGAGCATTTTCTGGTATAGCTGGCTGCACCCCTTCAATAGCCAGCCAGTGACAGACAAGTTCAGTATCAAGGGGAGCTTTTGGTAGTGGGGCTTCAATCACCTAGACTCACGACATTTCTTGAAAATATTAGAAAGCTTTAACTGAAACAAAAAGAAAAATATGACAGCTTCAGCCAACAACTTACGTCTTTGAAATCCACCTCTCTGTCATCAGTGTAGAACAAATCCCGATGCCCAATAGCTTTTCTAAAACGAAATGGTCCTCCTGAGGCAAAGCCATATATCGGCTGCAATAAATATGATCATTCTCAAACAGATGCCTTTTGATTCAGTTAACTGCTAGGTGATGGGAACTAGGAATGGGTCTCGAGTTTGTACCTCGACGTTCCTTAAGTTGAGAGCACCATCTACATCCGCAGCTGTTAAAATAGTTCTCTTTGAGTGACGCATGCATTTGATTGCTTCCTGCAGATACATCCAAACAAAATGAGATACTAAAACACACCTTGAGAACAACACAAAGACATGGCAAGAAAAAAACGTCACCTGCATGATCTCTCGAACACGATACTCAACATCAGGAGCAAGCATAAGCGCAGCCTCAGGTAACAAGTTGGTAATCCCAATACTTTGTGCTATAACCTCAATCGTTTCCTTTGGAACAATGCTCATCTTCACTTCTCTTTCCCAGACCCGATTGTCCACAGCTCTCTGTTGTAGCATACAAAATTGGAAGAAATATCAACACTGAGTAGGAAAAAAAGAAAGCATTGAAAAGCCATGAGTGTCAAAATCAAACGCCTGAGCATACACAGTGAATAGCAATTCAACATCCAGAAACACAATCAGAGTTTCAAATGTTCCGTTCAGAGTGATTAGCCGCAATTCGACCACGAAAGGACTCCGAATTTTACTATTAACATACAGCGGAGCACACAAAAATAAAGACGCACCAATTCGATTGACCAGCCGTGTTTGTCACAGACCACAGTATCGTTTCAGCTCCAAAGATAATGGCGAACAGGTTCCTTCTTCCTTCTCCTTCAGCACTTTCGCTAACTCGTAAACGGAGCAAGAAGAGGTTAAAACGATGACGTTGAAGATCCAGACAAACCGATATGGTACCGTCTAGCCTTTTTGATTTATAGACGAAAGCGAAGAAACCAGGATCGCGTCGGGTCTTTTAATCGCACTTGAATTCACCCGATTGAATTTTTCGGGTTAAATTAATTTTGGGCCAACTCTAAATCACGAGCAGGCCTCTTTAGCCCAATAAGGGGTCAGCTTTAACAAATTGTAGGAAAATCCTGAGTCAAACTCTAAAAATGGAGCACAGAATCCAACCATTAGGCAATCGGCAATCCACGCATCAATTTATTTTCATTCAACATACGTGAAGACCTTTTTACACTCATTTTCGTTTACAAACATCAAAGAGGATCAATATAAGTATGGCAAAACAAATTGTTGCAATAACATATGTAGTTAGATTACTTACTTCCCTTGGGAATTTTTCGTTTCTTTCTTTTTTACAGAAGAATAATTGTAGTCCCCAGTATCAGAAAAAGGGACGAATGGAAGCAAATTCTTTGTAAAAACAACCCAAATAATAATATTTTATAGTCTTGTAACGTCTCGTACCCAAGATATACCACCAGGAAACGCTCTATGAACTCTGGTTGTTGCAGCTTTTGGTTTTTCCTCCACCGGTTTCAACATCACCGGGCTTTCTTTCACCAAAACCGGCTTGTGTATTACGTTTACTTTCTCCTCGCCTTCTGTCAGAAACCTCAGACCCTGGAGTTTCCACAGTTTTTACGTTTTATAAAGCCAAAGAAATAATCAGCATGAGATAATGAAGCTCCTAAGAACAAATTCAAGATCAATGATCTCTGGTGAATTCTTTCACTCAGGGACTACTAGGACCATTTTTTGCATCAATAGAAAGAAAAAGAAGAGTATCGTATCAGTATTACCAAGAGAGAGTTATCAG